CCCCAAAACAGAAACCCCAAGAATAGGCCAACATGGGTTCCCAAAAAGGGAGCCAAATGGACTTGCTTGAGCCAGCCAGCAACTGGCCAGCAGCGGCCAGCAAACCAGTCGCTAAAATGGGGCCCTTGCGGAAAAAGTGGCGTTGCCCTTTTTGGGCCAATGCATCCTGGAGGAGTCCCCCCCCCCGCCTCGGAAGCGGTTTTCCGGCGGCTCCATTCTTGAAGGGGGTAGTGGGGGCAAGCCCCCAATTGAACAATCCTCTAAGCATCGCAAACAAGTGGCCTAGGGAGCCCTGTCCCTGCCAGCTGTAGAGAACGCGCTGCTTGCATCTTTCACGCGCTGGCTGTCCGCTTCGCACGCTGCAGATTCCAGCCGCCCAAGAGTGTGAGAAGCAGCCCAGTCCTCAGCCACACAGTTGACCCTGGATGAATCGACCTGGCAGATTTCTCGCCAAGTGATCCGAATATCCCCCAAAAAATGGTTTGCACCCCCTAGCAATCGAACCAAGGTTTATCAACCCGTGAGCCGAAACCAGCCGACACCACCCGAAGCCAAATCCCGTGTTCCGTGCGCTCTGTACAGCGACGTGCTTCTCAAGTTGCCAAGCGGCGCGTGGAAGATCCCGAAGGGCTTCGGAAACAACCAGAAGGAAAAGATGAAGGTGATCCTTGGATCACAACCCAGGCTGGCAATTGGTCACTACCTCTGGCTAGCAAGCCTTCATTCCAACAAGTGCTTGCGGGGGTCGTTCTCTTCTCTGATCCTGGGATATTCCTTTACGCCACCCGTCACAAAGAGACCCTTGGCTCTGTCTTGGGATTCATCGGCCCCTCTGGCCTGAAGGACATTCACACCTCCAACCATTGCCCTTGCCCCCCCCAACCCTCGCCACAGGGTCTTGGTTGAGGAGGTGGGAAGGAGGCTGGGTCCCATAAGAATGCTGCGAATGCCGAGTCTCGCCTTCCTGCCCGAGCAAACCTGCGCGGCAACTCCACGAGCTTTTCCGATAGCACAACGCAGGCGCTGAACATTTGAGGGGGACTTGGTTTCAGCCCTCGACGACACACAGGCAACACCGCTTCATTGGGCATCAGACTCTGCCGGTTCCCCTAGCCGACAGCGCACGACCTGCATCAGCCAGGGCCAAGCTGCAACAAAACGCGCCGCGCTTCGAGGCCACTCGCCACCGACAGCTGCAGCACGCACAACCCCTCATTCCTCTAACTGCCAACACCAAGCAAACCACCAAACAAGAGACAATACACCGCGGTGTCAGGCGCGTAAGGCGACACAGAGTCTAGGCACGCAGCCGAGCCACCGCCAGATATCACCGTGTCCAAGCGCGTGACAATCCCGAGCCACTGCCAGCTGGAGAATACCGTGACACACGGTGATTAAAAAATGGACCAGACATCTTCAACTTGGCTGAGCCTCAAGAGCCTGATGCAACCAAAGGGCCTCTTTTCTGATAGCACTGAACGGTTAGCACCCACAAACCAGAGAAAACACAAAGACACAAAGACGCAGGGAGTCTTGGCCGAAAGGTTGACCGTCTTGACCAAGGGGCATCCTCGACAAACCGACAGCACACGGAAACCTCACGGAGACTCTCCACCTCCGCGCACGAACGCACGCACGCACAAGAAGCGCTTCAATGCACTGCCGGCATATAGGAGAACTCAAGCCTATGGGGATTGCAACCAAGGATAGTAACCAAACTGTGGCTCCCATCCAAATCAATCTGTCCGGAAAGTAAGAAGACCAGAAACAGGGAAAGTTTGCACTGTTGATTGTGGAAGTCAACTACTGGATGTGTCCAACGTCCTGTCACACGCTGCAATGTTGGCTTACTTGACAGCGACCCAAGCTCGCTCTGTCAACTTGTGCACAAAACGTTTTGCCGAGGAACCACGTTGGCCCGAGTTGCGTCAAATTCTTGGGTGATGCACATGACTGCCTCCAAGCCTTAGTCGCTGCGTGATGTCGATTGAACTCATAGCTGCCTTTGTTGGGGATCCTCGCCAAGGAGTGCGAACAAAACAGGGAAGATTGACGACGCTGCTTTGGTATGGATCCGTTCAAGCCCACAACCAGTAAGAGTCAACTACCAGCGGGGTCTGCACAAAGGAGGGTGTCCTCCAAATAGGGGATCCCTTTGGATGGCTTGCAAAGGCAAACCAAAAGAAAGCCAACTGCCCAATTTATGGAAACATCACTGGCCCCAGGTCTCGGAGTGGCTTTCTTTGTGCCGCCAATTCATGATCAAAGCAACCTCAGGCACAAACACCCGGGACGGCCAAAAGAGCAGTAGCGCCTTCCAACTTTATTATACAGACACGTTGAACCTAAAATGAGCTCGCTGATGGTGACGGTTCTTTGCTAGGGGATCCCTCAATTCACACTGGTGGGCAACCGGAGTTTGCGGCGAATTCAGGTTTACAACAATGGTGTGACCCACGCTTAGTCGCGGTCAGCGCTTGGTAATATCTTCCATCTTTGCCCTTTGCGCAAACGATGCCAGAAAAATGAAAAACTAGGTGTCGAGTGGGACGTTGACCGAGTATACTTAGTAGGCTGCAGCAATATCCCTCCGTTGTCTGTTGAATTGGGCCAACTTGCGCAGACCCTTCAGACTTATTGCATCTTCCCACCAAAATAAGCTCAGGTGACATCCCCAACAGCATGCGGTGCCCTTGTTAGTGCTCGCACCACCCCGCAGTCTTCGCAGAACCTCGTGGAACCCTCGTGGAACCCTGGTGGAACCCTGGTGCAACCCTCGTAGAACCTTACCTCAGGGTCGCCCCGGAGGCGGCTTAAAGGTTAAGCAAAGGGGCGCCACTTCACTTTCATGTTCCTCATGTGGAGACAAACCTTCATTTACCAAAGATGCAATTGAGAGCGCAACATTCAAATCAAAACCCAGTCGGCCAAAGAGCCTATGTATGTCAGGACATTGTCCAGCGCGGTGTAGCGCAGGGCACTGGAGTTCTGACGGTACCAGCTGATCGCTTTGGAAAACTCCTGGGCCACACAAAAACCCCTGGACCAGTCGGACCCTGGTTTGGCCTGGGGGTCTTGATGGATTTCATGCTTGCGCTTGGGTCTTGGAAAAGATCCCGAAACTTTAGGAAGCCCTGGAGGCGCATTCAGGCGTACGCGACATAGTCCTCGACAAAAAGAGGGCTGTAGTTCACTCAGGGGCAAACCAGAAGGGAGATAGGGTGAGCATCGGCAGCCGAGGTCGTTGGTGAAACTAAACCTTGCCAGTTGGAACCCTTAATTGCTGGAACTAGACCAGGGAAGGGAAGCCGAATGCCCAAAAGGTGGACGAGGTGCCACTCCAAGGTCAAACTGCAATCAGCCCGCACAAAGCAAGGAGCAAACAAACAATAAGGAATAACAGCACGTTAAAGCGAGCTGCAACCGGTCGAATCCGACACCAACTGTTCTCCGCGCCGCCATGCTCAGCAGCCATCAGCAATCAAAACCAACAAGGAACTGCATCAGCTATACAACGGGCTGTAACACAATTGCGAAACAGACCAGTCACAGGCTGCTTTGACAACTCGAATCTCTGTGAGCAAGGGTTGCCAGCTGCGTCAACATAAAAGCTAAGAGGTAAGACATCAACATCGGCGAAGGTTTCATTCCACGTGCTATGGCTGAATTGAAGTGAGAGCATCGTGTAGGCTTGAAAGGTAGCAGTTTGTGTGGGTTATGCGCAGCATCGACCCCGATCCACGCAGAGGGTTCATCGGCCGATTTGAAACGTCGCATTCCGTGCGTTGTCCGTGCATCGGCTACAAATCCGGGCAGAGGATTCATTCCGGACCCTCGCTTGGTCCACAGCCCATCAAAAAAGAACGAATAAATAGCTGCATAGCCAGATCTGCGCAAGCAGAGCTGTGCCAAGCAGGGCTGCCCATTTCCTGAATCGCTGTTTTCGGGGGGAAAACGGCGGGGAGGGCAAATTCTGGCCAAGCATCGCCGCTTAAAGATATGTAGACCAAGAGCACGGCAGATGCCGCTGCCTCAGCATGCTGCACGCAAGGCGTGAACCGAGGCCGACGGAAAAAGACTGCACGGGTTGCCCATGTGTCATAAAGCATAAATGAGCTTCAATTAACGCTTGAAAACGCATGTTAAACATGTTCAAGCGCAAACTAAATGTCGAAGCTCCAAACAAAAGCCCCAAAGAACTAGGTTGGCATACCATGCAGACCCACAGTTCAAAACATCCTCCGAATCAACTTCAAATGTTGGTGTTAGGCTTCGGCAAACCAATTGATTGGCGATGGTGTTCTTTCAAGTGGGAATATCTCTGACATTCGTACACTTGACCATGGTCGCTTTATCCTGCTGAGATGCCCCAATGCTGTCTCAAAGCCGGTATGTCCGCGAGGGGACACTGACATGCGGCAGGTTGTCAAGCAAAATGGAGGCGCCGACTTGAGATCCAAGAAGGATCCATAGGTTTGTCAACCCGGATAGAACCGAAACCCTTTGGGCAGAGTTTAACAATTCGCGTGATGCAGCCCGAGCTTCGTATTGCACAAGCATCATGCCGTGGACCTGAGCGCCAAACGTAGCAGGAACAAGCATGAA